TACCATGAAATACCATATATATAGTGAACGACTATTTGCCGCCAACTAAATTTTTTTTTTTTGAATTTTCCCTTCCAAGCATTCTATAAATTCGGATACCGTTAACATTTGACTCATTCCAACAAAAACTTATGTTTGACGAGCCCAGTGCCTCCGTCGCCGGCCAACCTCCCGTCGCCTTCAATCGTCGGAAAACAAGTAACTTTACTTTTTACTACAAGTTTTCCAGTTTTCCGGCGAAAAACACGGGATCAAAAAAAAAATTAAGGACGGAACACCACCGAGACGAAAACATTTTGCGGCCGGTGCGACGCCCAGCCGAAAATCTCTTTCGGCCCGACGTCGCCTCGGCCGCAAATTTTTTTCGACCCGACGTCGGGCCGACGGAGATCCCAGCCGCAAAATGTTTTCGGCTCGGCGGCGCACTGGCCAAAATAAATTTTCGGCCTGGCGGTGCACCGCCAGCAAAATGTTTTCGGCCCGGCGGCGTACCGGGCAAAAAAAAATTTCGGCCCGACGACGCACCTGGCGCAGGTTTTTTTCGGCCCGACCTATTTTTACATTTAACTTAATATGTTAATTAATTAATCAATAAATAATTACTTAATTAGTTAATAGAAATTAGCAATTAGTGTTAATATTTATTTAAGTTGGTGTATGAATGTTTTTTTTTTGTAATAGGTGTATGAATGTTTAATTACTTAGATTAGTTAATAGAAAATTAATTAATTAATAATTGATTTAACAATTAATGTTAATATTCAGTACATTAGTTAGTGTCCTGGTGGACCTACAGATCCTAGCCTCATGAGGAGCTTCCGTGGCCACGCTTCCTATGCACTTTGGAAGGGGGTTGGAGATCGAGGGGTCATCAGTTGCTACAGTCGTACATCGGCGGTTGATTATCTGGGTAGCTACGTGTTTAGTCATGTTGAGGCGGAGAATTTGGTTCAACAGTCAGGTCTCCAGCACCTGATCTACTCTATGTTCCGCAAGATAGCGATTGACGAGGCTTTGATCTCAGCTTTTGTGGAGAGGTGGCAGCTAGACACGAACACCTTCTACTTTCCTTTTGGAGAGATGACGATCCTCCTCCACGATGTTCAGTACTTACTGCAGATTTCTATTGAGGGACGACTGATGAGTAGGACTTCTGCGTAGGTTGACCATCTGGAGGTGGGTTTGTGTGCGCTTCTTGGGATGAACTCGGAGCAGTTGAGTGGTCGTTCGGAGGCCCCTGGATATGGTAATAGGGGTAAGTGGTACGAGAAGGGTGGTTTTCTTACGGAGATGGCGTCCAGATACTTGCAGGTGAACGTGACACATGTGACAGAGGCGCAGTCGTACTTGTTGTTGCTGTTGGGGTCCACTTTGTTTGTGGACAAGAGTAGAGATAGGGTTCGGCCAGTGGTGAACCTATTTTTGGACGAGTTGGAGGAGGTAGATCAGTACAGTTGGGCGTTAGGTACACTTGCTTGGTTGTACAGATACCTTGGTCAGGCGTGCTGGTGCTAGGGGGTGGCTGGTTGTCTCACACTTCTGCAGTTTTGGATCTACGAGTACTTTCCGGGTTTCAGGTCTCACTTCGAGCCACCCGTCGTTGGACGTGATGAGGCTTGGGCTTCACGATGGATTGGGTAGCCGACACCTGGTTCTGTGGCTGATTCTAGTGTGAGGTTGGCGTTCTACCGTCGAGCTCTTGACAGCTTGACCCCTTCTGATGTGTTTTGGACACCTTTCCATCAGAGGCCTCATCAGGCAGTGCATCGCTCTTTGTACACTGGAGTCATCCGGTTCGCTGATATAGGCAAGTTCTATGATCCAGCCCGTTGTCTCCGACAGATGGTACCGCCTCCCCCTTCGCGTCCTCAGCGAGCAGACCGACCAGAGGCACCTGGTGGATATGTCATTCAGATTCCTGAGTGTTTTGATGTTGCATGGGATGCTCTGCTATCCCACATGGTTCATATAGACATGTACTCTCAGTCGTGGACGACGTATCCATATGAGACTACGATAGACTATTTTGACTGGTTCGTGGCGCACTCTCATTGTAGAGTCCTACGGGATGATAGAGATGCAGATCGACTAGTTGACTCCGCAGCGGTAAGATTTGACCACTAGATCGTTACTCTATTATAAATATACTTAGCGTGAAACTAACAATTGTTCTTGTTTTTTTTTATGTAGCGTGCTCGCTACCTTTTGTACACGTTTGCACTTGCGGTTCGAGCAGCAGCAGAGACCAAGGAGGAGTTTCTTTAGCATTCTCGATGAGCCTACAGGACACTGCACGGAGTGCAGAATGTGTGGACTGAGTACTGGGTCTCTCAGGGACTCCCCCCTCCAGGGGATTTTTAGTTGTTTTTTATGTTTGGATCATTTATGATTTGTAATATTTGTGTTTAGGTCGGATGTTTATGTTTAGACTGCATGTTTGCATATTTATGTTTAGATCGGATGCTTGACTACTTATGTATGTTTGGATCGAATGTTTATGTTTAGACTGCATGTTTCCATGTTTATGTTTAGGACGGATGTTTGACTACTTATGTTTGGATCGGATGTTTGCACACTCATGATTAAAACATCGACGGTAGATAATGAAATCCATAAGTTCATGATGATAATGAAATCCATAATGAAATCCATAAGTTCATAATGACACTAGGGACATTTAAAATATAACTAGAAAAACAACATATAAATAGAGCATTGTGACTCGCTATGACACAACTCCTAACAAAGGCCAAGTGTAACCAATGAAAGGGACTGCAGTATAGTGGCTCAAGTGATAAATATCGAATCCACGGGTCTCTAAAGTTACTATTACTCAGCTTCAGTTTATTATTTAGCAAACCAGATTAAGATGAAAGAACTAAAACTACTCTAGCAAACAACAGTTAAAGTTAATCTAATTACAGGTTGGGAACTCACTTAGGTATGATTCCCCCTAGCCACTAGCTAGACTAACGATTGATGATTTCTAACTTGCTTCACTTTCATTCACAATGCGGAGAATCCTTGATTAGACCTTGAGTCTCGACTAAAGGAACAAGGCCCTCTTGAGTCAATTGCCTAGAGGGACGTATCCTTCTCTAGAACAACTGATCAAGGCGTTCTGAACTAGACTCCCTCTATCGAAAGAGGTTCTCAATCGATACAAAGCAGTGAATCAACCCTCGACTAAAGCAATCGATCCACTACTATCAATCTATGGTGCTCTATTGACCTAATCAGGTATTCCCTCTCATAGGATCAAAGCAGAATCAATAATCTCGACTAAAGCACAATTGAATCATGAAAACATGCATAGATTGAATATGAACTCAAGATTATCAAGTCAGAGTACTCATACAATCATCCAATCAAACAAACATAGCTAGGGTTCCTCAAAACCTAAGTGAAGGGAAGTTACTCCATAGAGAAGAGAGAGACTGCAGTAAGAATCTTCAGATGATCAGTCTTCAAGTCCGGGCTTGTTCCTCGAGCTTCCAAGGCGAAGAAATCCTCCAATTCCACTCTTAGAATGCCCTCAGATCGCCCTCTCTCTCTTTGGTTCGTCCCTTGGGTGTTTGGGATCCAAAACCCAGCTCTCCCCTTTCCTTTGGCTGAAAATCGGGTTTTAACAAGCAATTCCCGACTCACACGGGCAGGCCGCACGGCCGTGTGGCTCACCCAGTTTCCCGTGTGATACGATCCTGGAATCGATCGAATTCCATCCAGGATTAATCGTCAAAGAGGCCAAGTCGAATTGCAAAGTAAAAGCTGAAAATTGTCCAAGTCAAAATTCGTGTTCAGGGTACATATTTTGGAGGCATGGTTCTCTCAATTGGCTTGGTGGAAATTCAAGGTTAAGGGTTTGTTTTGCAGATAAAGTTGTCATGTTTTCAATGGTATGCTTGGTGGAACCAGATGATGTCATTAAGGTTGTTTTCCAAGGCCTCAAAGTTGCTACCTCAAAACTGGAAAACTGCCAGAAAATGGTTAAGTCTGGAAACTGTTTTGTGAAGCCTAATTTGGAGCTCAATTCAAGGAGCATGGATCTGATTCGAGACCAAAGGCTTCTACAACATGAAACTAGGAATGTTTATCTACCAAGGGAATGAATCGGATGAAAGATCGGAGTTCTAGAAGGCCTTGTACGAAAGGTGTGAAGTTAGTACGAAAGCTGCTTTTGGACTGTTTGCTGGCAGCTTGCTTGCACTTGAAGAAAGAGAGTTTAAATCCGAATTTTGAGTCCTTTTTAGAGTAGATTTTTTTACCTTAATTGTTTCCTAGTTCTATTAGGTTTGCATTAGGTTTATTTGTCTATAAATACTCTTCTATTTACGTTGTAAAAAATAAGACTGTGTTGAATAGAAATCGAAACCGTTTGGTTTGTGCAAGTTGCGACTTGTTTTGGGTTTGGTGGATTCCAACCTTGCTGAGCTTGTGTATCGATTGAATAGTCACTTCAATCGTGGTCGAGCAACTATCCTTTTATACCAATCGAGCTATCCCCAGGTGTGGATTTGTCCTTTTGGTTCCGTTTTATCCAAGTTCGTATTAAGAACGTGTTGTTCTTGATTCGAGCTCAATCGATTCTTCGATTGAGTCGTTTGCTGCGTGACTTTGATAAACATACACCCCCCCAGGGGCGTATCAAGTGGTATCAGAGCCCCGTTCAAATCAGTGGCGGTTTGTTCTTGACGACTCTGTTTTTTGCTCGTCAAACAAGATGGAAATTTTGGCAGAAGAGCTAGCAGAATCGATGTTCTTCACGCGTTGTTTAATCGATGAGAAAGTGTGTTTGGTTCTCGTTGATGGAGGCAGGGAGAGGAATTTAATCTCCTCCAGAACAGTGGTCAAGTTAGGGCTACAATCACAGCTACATCCAGCTCCCTACAACGTCCAATTACCGTACGAAAAATACCCAAGTTTCGTGATTTCTCAGGTGGTTGTGGACTTTTCGATTGGTTCGTATAAAGATAAAGTACTGTGTGATGTGGTTTACAACTTGCCCAACCATATTGTTTTGGGACAGCCTTGGTTTCATGATCGACAAGTTCGGCTAGTTAGTAGAAGGAGCAAGAAATTTCGTTTGCAGAAGCAAAACATGGTAGTCATTCTGGTTCCTTTGTCTCCAGACGCAGCTGCCGAAGACCTGAAGGTGGTACAACGACTCCACAAGGATTACAGGTCGTCGTTGATGGCCAGGTCGCTGCCAGTGAGCAGCAACTCTATCCAACCTCGGCTGGGAGATGGAGACCCCTGTCTTTTTGTGACGAAACAGAGCTCCGACGCCAGCAGTAGTGCCGACGACGACGAGGCGAAACCCGAGCACAAGGGCGCTTCCAATTCGTCCCTAGAGGTTGAAGGTATGTCAAGAAAGCGAGAAGAAGGCTCGAAATTGACCACCATCGCGCGAATCGACCCGACGACGAGAGCAGAGTTTCTCGACTATGTTTTTTCGACGACAGAACAGAGCATGAGAGAGGGAGTATCGGGTGGAGCTCTGCAGAGTACTCCGACCCACTCCAAGGAGACCGACACACTCCATTCTGCCTTAAGAACCTCTCAACTCGACCAATTTGAAACGATTACTTCAATTTTTCAGAATCAAGATCGAGCTCCAAAGCCTCTGGTCGCGCACAGGGAAGAAGAAAAAGTTTCCGAATTGGTTGGGGTGATCGAGCGAGATTCGACCCAAACAGCTATCGTGGAATCATCTGAGAAGATCTCAGGAAGCTATTTGAATGCTAAATTGAAGTCGGGGATGATCGAGCAGAAAACGCCCAAAATTGAAAATTTTGGCCGAAAATTGGAAGAAAAACAGAAGGATTCAATTCGAGCTACTGGGATTGATTCGATCCAATTGGAAGCTTTTAAAAAGTTCAGGGTGGTCCGAGGATGGTGTAGAATCCAAGAATTGAGCACGAAGATGCCAGAATTGCAATTCCCCAATTTCAATTTTGGGTCGCCGGATTCTGGAATTGCAACGCTGGCTTCTGGGCAATTCAAAATCCCAGGCGGCGGGAAATCTGTTTATTCTTATTGGAGACGAATTGCTCCACTTCGACGCACAAGGATGCTTGGAGACGATCCTTGGAATCCATACGGACCGGATGGAGGCCATGAATTCGATCAAGACAGCTCCGAGAAGAAACACCCAATTTTGGAGCCCTCGCCGGAAAATATGGACTCGCCGGAATCTGCATTCTTTTGGCCGGATTCTGGAAAATTTCAAGGCCTTATTCTGGGTCCGATTTTGCACACTTGTTTCGTGGGGAAGGTCCATTGGAGCCCCACGATTGTGTTGAAGCTCAAATCGTGGAGAACACAGGCCAATTTATGGGCTGGAGCAGAATTTGAAGTTCGAAATTTTTTGCCGAAAATTGTGTTTGAGCAGGCCACTTTCGATCCAGTTTGGAATAAATTTTGCAAAGATTTTGACAAAAGAAAGTTTCAAGCTTTGAGGTCAAAGCTTTTTGAAGAGGGGGAGCCTGATACGATCCTGGAATCGATCGAATTCCATCCAGGATTAATCGTCAAAGAGGCCAAGTCGAATTGCAAAGTAAAAGCTGAAAATTGTCCAAGTCAAAATCCGTGTTCAGGGTACATACTTTGGAGACATGGTTCTCTCAATCGGCTTGGTGGAAATTCAAGGTTAAGGGTTTGTTTTGCAGATAAAGTTGTCATGTTTTCAATGGTATGCTTGGTGGAACCAGATGATGTCATTAAGGTTGTTTTCCAAGGCCTCAAAGTTGCTACCTCAAAACTGGAAAACTGCCAGAAAATGGTTAAGTCTGGAAACTGTTTTGTGAAGCCTAATTTGGAGCTCAATTCAAGGAGCATGGATATGATTCGAGACCAAAGGCTTCTACAACATGAAACTAGGAATGTTTATCTACCAAGGGAAGGAATGGGATGAAAGATCGGAGTTCTAGAAGGCCTTGTAAGAAAGGTGTGAAGTTAGTACGAAAGCTGCTTTTGGACTGTTTGCTGGCAGCTTGCTTGCACTTGAAGAAAGAGAGTTTAAATCCGAATTTTGAGTCCTTTTTAGAGTAGATTTTTTTACCTTAATTGTTTCCTAGTTCTATTAGGTTTGCATTAGGTTTATTTGTCTATAAATACTCCTTCTATTTACGTTGTAAAAAATAAGACTTTGTTGAATAGAAATCGAAACCGTTTGGTTTGTGCAAGTTGCGACTTGTTTTGGGTTTGGTGGATTCCAACCTTGCTGAGCTTGTGTATCGATTGAATAGTCACTTCAATCGTGGTCGAGCAACTATCCTTTTATACCAATCGAGCTATCCCCAGGTGTGGATTTGTCCTTTTGGTTCCGTTTTATCCAAGTTCGTATTAAGAACGTGTTGTTCTTGATTCGAGCTCAATCGATTCTTCGATTGAGTCGTTTGCTGCGTGACTTTGATAAACATACACCCCCCAGGGGCGTATCACCGTGCGAGTCAAAACACAGCGTATCACTTAGTTGAATTCCAGGCTTCTTACACGGCCAGGGTCGCACGGCCGTGCAGCTCACCCAGCCTGGCTGTGTGAAGCCTCGCAGAATTCCACACGGCCAAACTGGTCAATTGCACGGCCGTGTGGATTTTCAGCTCTGCCCGTGTTTGCTCTCGCACAATCCCACACGGCCAAACTGGTCAATTGCACGGCCGTGCGGGTTGTGGGTTTGCCCGTGCAGCTTCCTTTGTGACTTGCCTCGCGCCCGATCTTCGCCCAATCGACGCTGAAGTCGCTCCTAAACCTTCATTCACTTGCCAGGACCTGCTATATCACAAACAAGCACAACCTAGCGTGAAATCGGTCTAAAACACGAGAAACCACATCTCAAACGGTGTAAGAACAGGGGTGAAAACATGTGTAATTAACGGTCTATCAAACTCCCCCACACTTAACCGTTTGCTTGTCCCCAAGCAAACCTAACTCAAACCAATGCAACTCTCCGGACCTCTATAGCAACAAACACCCCAGATCGTAGGTAGAGGACTTCCTAGATCATTTAGCAGCTTACGAGGCCAACCGACGCATAAGTCATCTCATAGCTTCTTCGGCGAGAGAACTAGTATCGAGTCGGAATCATGGCAAATAGTGAACAGAGGACAAATGAATTGTGGATGAAGAGATTCTAAAAAACAAAGGATCATGGACTCACATTTTTTTTAAGGTACTCTATTTTCTTCTTGAAGATGGTTGGAACCCCTTTTCTTTCAGTTTTGCTTGTTTTCTGTTATTTTTTCTTCTTTTTTTTTTCAAGGGTCCCAACCTGCTCTTACCGGCCATGCCAGGAGCGGATTTCTCGAGCCTCGTGTGGGGGAAAGACATGTAAGGGGGCTGGCAGTAGTAGGTGGAAATTGGGAACGAATTCCCGTCTCCCCTTACACACTTTTGCCCTATTCGCACGGGAGACGTTATTTTGAAGCACATTTTCGAGCACCTGTTAAACTCAAAACAAGAACCAAGAGTCCATGACAGGTAGAGAGTCCACAACACCACACAATTCAAGGGTCCTAAGATCACTAATTCACTCAATCAACCAACACAATATGAAGAAGAAATGGGATTTCTTAAATGCATCAACATCCTCCATAGTGCTACACTACCTCCCTAGGTTGCATATTACTATAGAGACTGTCAATTCAAAGCATACTGAGCAGGCAATTGCACGGAAACACATACTTGGAGCCCTCAAATTTAAAAATTTGGACAGTGGACTAGGCTCCAAGCACACAAACAGATCTAATGCAGTCAAAAGATAAACATAACATCCCCCCACACTTAAGATCGACATTGCCCTCAATGGAGAAGAGGGAAGGAAAGGGGAACGATGTTACCGGATCAAGGGTGAATGATGATGAACGGGGCAGGCGGTGCATTCCAGAAAGAGAGAGTAATCAGAACACAAACACCACACAAAATCTCACAAAGGTTGAGTTATTGACTCTAAAATCAAATAGCAAAACTGACTCAACCGAGGAGAAATAGAGAAAGAAATGCAAACCGACTGGTTGGGTTGCCTCCCAACAAGCGCTTCTTTCACGTCGTGAGCCGGACGATGGCTCCTAAGTTTCGGTCCACCCCAAAACCTCCTTGAAGTTGAGGTTCTCGTCGATGAGGTGGAGTCTCAAGTCACGAGCATGTGGTATGACAGGTGATGGAAGCTCGTGCACTTGATGCAGATAACGTCTCCACCCTCGAGACCTCTTCTTCTTTTCTCTCGTCTCATTGCCCCAAACCAGATATGACAGCATCAATTGGCCACCATCGCGTCCACCAAGAGGGACCGATGTTGATGTGGCCTTGGTCTGGCAAAGAGACACTGCAAATGGGTCCTTGCTAAGCAGTTCCTTGAAGTTTGGTGGAGATATCAAATGTAACTCATGGCCGGTGCAAGCCTCTTCCACCTCAACTTCGTCCTCAGCCTGGACGCCAATTGCTTCTTCAACCTCCCTTCCTTCTTCATGCGGTATCACCCCTTGGAAATGATCAAAGAACTCGTCCAGCTTCACTTTCGTCATCCTCCACAACTTCTTTCTGCACCCTTTCTTGCTCTTCTTCTTCTAGCACGGATTGGAGAGCAAGTTGCCAAGCAATTTCTTTCATGAGACCTTCTTGCATCTCCTCACTCATGCCCGCCTCTTCGAAGCACAGTTTGGGGTGTAGGAAGGTGTGGTCGGCTACGACATGACACTCCTGATCATGATCATCACGGGAGCTCTCCGTGACAACTTCAGTGTGCTCCACAATGTCCTTGTAGCCTTCTTCTTCCTCCTCCTCTTCTTGTCTGGTAGCCGAAGGGTGATCTTGAGCAGGTTGTGCCCAAGATCGCTCAAGATCATCGACGCTCTTCATAAGGCTCAAGAGGATCTCCTCTATTTCACGAAAAGCCTGGACACAATGATCCATCTTGGAGCATGATCTTTCCATGAGAAGCCTCAATTCGTAGGTTGGATCTGGCTGTGGAGTGTAGCATGGCTCTGCAGAATAGCCCGTGAAGGCCGCCATGGGTAACTCCAGCGCCGATGGCCCTTCTGGTTGTGGGAGAAATTCTTCTTGGTAATGAGGTTGTTCTTGATATGCCCAGAGGTCCGGTTGTTCTCCGTAGTAAGGGGGTTGGTACTGGAACCCGAATCCATAGTCTTCTCCTCCTTGATTGCTCCAGGGAGTCTCGGGGTAATACCACTCGGGTGGTGGTGGATACCCCCAATTGTTGGAGAAGCCATGAGGATCCATGATTCAGATCTGCACCAACAAAAACAAAAACACCCAAGTGAAAAGCAAGGGTGGAAAAGAAAAGAAAAGAAAAACGCTTAAGTAACAAACTTCTGCCTTTCCTAATACTCTAGAAAGTCCCCGGCAACGGCGCCAAAAACTTGACTCGCTATGACACAACTCCTAACAAAGGCCAAGTGTAACCAATGAAAGGGACTGCAGTATAGTGACTCAAGTGATAAATATCGAATCCACGGGTCTCTAAAGTTACTATTACTCAGCTTCAGTTTATTATTTAGCAAACCAGGTTAAGATGAAAGAACTAAAACTACTCTAGCAAACTACAGTTAAAGTTAATCTAATTACAGGTTGGGAACTCACTTAGGTATGATTCCCCCTAGCCACTAGCCAGACTAACGATTGATGATTTCTAACTTGCTTCACTTTCATTCACAATGCGGAGAATCCTTGATTAGACCTTGAGTCTCGACTAAAGGAACAAGGCCCTCTTGAGTCAATTGCCTAGAGGGACGTATCCTTCTCTAGAACAACTGATCAAGGCGTTCTGAACTAGACTCCCTCTATCGAAAGAGGTTCTCAATCGATACAAAGCAGTGAATCAACCCTCGACTAAAGCAATCGATCCACTACTATCAATCTATGGTGCTCTATTGACCTAATCAGGTATTCCCTCTCATAGGATCAAAGCAGAATCAATAATCTCGACTAAAGCAGAATTGAATCATGAAAACATGCATAGATTGAATATGAAATCAAGATTATCAAGTCAGAGTACTCATACAATCATCCAATCAAACAAACATAGCTAGGGTTCCTCAAAACCTAAGTGAAGGGAAGTTACTCCATAGAGAAGAGAGAGACTGGAGTAAGAATCTTCAGATGATCAGTCTTCAAGTCCGGGCTTGTTCCTCGAGCTTCCAAGGCGAAGAAATCCTCCAATTCCACTCTTAGAATGCCCTCAGATCGCCCTCTCTCTCTTTGGTTCATCCCTTGGGTGTTTGGGATCCAAAACCCAGCTCTCCCCTTTCCTTTGGCTGAAAATCGGGTTTTAACCAGCAATTCCCGACTCACACGGGCAGGCCGCACAACCGTGTAGCTCACCCAGTTGCCCGTGCGAGTCAAAACGCAGCGTATCACTTAGTTGAATTCCAGGCTTCTTACACGGCCAGGGTCGCACGGCCGTGCAGCTCACCCAGCCTGGCCGTGTGAAGCCTCGCATAATTCCACACGGCCAAACTGGTCAATTGAACGGCCGTGTGGATTTTCTGCTCTGCCCGTGTTTGCTCTCGCACAATCCCACACGTCCAAACTGGTCAATTGCACGGCCGTGCGGGTTGTGGGTCTGCCTGTGCAGCTTCCTTTGTGACTTGCCTCGTGCCCGATCTTCGTACAATCGACCCTGAACTCGCTCCTAAACCTTCATTCACTTGCCAGGACCTGCAATATCACAAACAAGCACAACCTAGCGTGAAATCGGTCTAAAACACGAGAAACCACATCTCAAACGGTGTAAGAACAGGGGTGAAAACATGTGTAATTAACGGTCTATCACATTGCAACACTATGCATTGCTCCTACCCCTACCCCTTCCCCTAGCTCTTCGTGGGTCTCTCTGCCTGGCTCGCTGCCGACCACCAAGACTCGCAAACAAATTTTGTCCAATAATCTCAACCCATGGCCAGCCGTACCTGTTGGTCTTGTAGGTCGAGTCAATGAGGATGAC